TGAACTGGTTGTTGGAAGAAATCATTAGGGCAGAGAACCGGTTGTTAAATTATTTGAATCCCACCACTGCTTACGACTGTTTTTCATACTTACAACTGTTGCAACATCCCCATGATGACTGATCAAAATTCAGACGTTTGGCAGCTGACTCATATTTATGACCATTGCAGTATCCTGGGGACATGTGATTCCCATTTGCGACCTTCTTGAACAAGCGAAGTCAATATGGAAGCCAGATTCACTTAACAAGCATGTTACTCACTTAACAACTGCAGTGCTTCACAGTGGCAAAACTCACATAACAAATTTCTCACTTAGCAACATACATCTGTGCAGGGCTGAAATCCTCCGCGGATTGCCACTGGTTTGCTGCCTACGCGTGTGCAGTGAGTGCCAAAAGCACGCTGTGCACACATGCGCAATGCACATCAAAAGCACACTGCGCGTGCATGCAGTGATTACCAAAAGCACGATGCGTGTGCAAGGGCATGCACAGTGTGCGCTAAATGCACTCTGCGCAGAAAAAGGAGGCTTAACAAGATAAGTAGAATAGCAAGGGAGGGGAACAGCTATGCCGCGTGATTTAGATTCGCAGGATTTCCTGCTTTCTAGTGAATATAAATTGAGTGGCACAGCTGATCGTTGGAAATACTGGTTCGAACGAACCAGTAGCTTTTTTTTTTAACTACCAGTTTGCCCGAACTGGTAGCTTTTATCACTACCGGTTTGCCTGAACCGGTGCAAACCGGTAGCATTTCACCCCTGCATTTGTGGTCATAAGTTGAAAACCAGCTGTACCAGAGGTGGGATTCAATATTTTTTTACTACCGGTTCTGTGGGCGTGGCTTGGTGGGCGTGGCAGGGGAAGGATACTGCAAAATCCCCATTTCCTCCCGATCAGCTGGGACTCGGGAGGCAGAGAATAGATGCAGGTGGGGCCAGTCAGAATTTTTACAACCGGTTCTCCAAACTACTCAAAATTTCCGCTACCGGTTCTCGAGAACTGGTCGGAACCTGCTGAAACCCACCTCTGACCTGTACTACAGGCCTCTCTCTCCTCTCTCTCTCATTCCTTGAGTAAGTTTCACTGCAGCCAGAAATGAGCCAGAAATGAATTATCTTGCACAAGGCTTCTATTAGCCTTCTCGAAAACAGAGACGGCAATAATCCTGCAGCTGCCATAAATCAAATTTGCAGGTTATAGTTAGTGAGTTATTTCTTCTGGCTTTTCAATCAAGCCTCTTATTAGTGACTAAGCAGGAGCCTGGAGGTTTTGGGTTGGGAAACGGAAGCAAGAACAGGCTTGTCAAAGACAATTTAGGATTTCTCAAGCGCTCTCAGGCTTGGAAAGTGATACGTCAGGAGACTTCCTACACCGAAGCGTGCCTTATTTACACAGGTAGCCCTCCACAGTTCGTTTAGTGACCGTTCAAAGTTACGGCGGCTTGGGAAAAATAATGGCTTAAGACCGTTTTTCACACTTACGACCGTTGCAGCTTCCCCGTGGTCACGTGTTCAGAATTCAGACGCTTGGCAACTGGCTCATATTTATGACGGTTGCAATGTCCCGGGGTCACGTGATCCCCTTTTGCAACCTTCATCATCATCATCCTCTTTTAACGACCCCAGAATCCCTTGCGGGGTAGAGTTGGGGCAACTGAATGGAGCTGAGTGATTACTGGCCGGATGCCTTTCCTGTTGCCAATGAGGAGTTTTGTTCAGCAGATAGATTCTCATCGTGCCCAGAGAGAGAAATACCTGCCTCTACCTAGGTTCGAACTCACAGCCTCCTGATTGTGAGGCCAGAGCTCCACCTCTAGGCCACCGCACCACTTGTCCCCTTCTGACAAGCAAAATCAGTGGGGAAGCCTGATTCACTTAGCAACCATGGTTACTGACTTAACTGCAGTGATTCGCTTAACAACGGTGTCGTACAATGGGGCAAAACTCCCTTAACAAACATCTCACTGAGCAACAGAAATTTTTGGGAGCTCAACTGTGGTCTTAAGTAGAAGATTACCTATACTTCGTTTATTGTTTCCCAATGAAATTCATTCCAAAGTTGGAAGCCGTGGCAACCGACCCATCTACTCTCCGGCCCCCAATTTGCACAAATGCCTAGAAAAAAACAGCTACACACACCATCTTCTTACTACATGTGTGATGCCTCCATCCCAGAACATCTTCTCTGGCATTGTTGCAACGCAACCAGTTCTTTTGGTAGCATTTGCTTGTTAGCCTAGTCACCAAGTTGACTTGCGATGGTCTCAAAAGCTAAGCGGGGACCACCCTTGTTAGTAATTGGATGGGAGACCACTGGAAGATCCCAGGGCTTTATATGCTTATTTGGGATGTCAATCAACAACCTTGGAGTAGGCAATGGACGATCCCTTCCGAACACCAAGAAAACGGCATGAAGATATCTAAGAGGGCTTCAGGAGCTGAAGTTGCTTTGAAGGCAACTATATTTTGATTTAACTAACTGGGGTGAGTGTGGAGGGAAGTGGCAGAAACTGGAGGTGGAGCAGGGGTGAAATGCTACTGGTTTGGACCGGTTCGGCTAAACCGGTAGCGGCGGCAGCACGTGGTTCGGAGAACTGGTAGTGGCGGTAGTGTGAGGCTCCGCCCACCCACCCGGATGTGATTACTTCCTGGTTTTAACCAGGAAGTAACCTGTTTTTGACCCTCTGAGCATGTGCAGAAGGCTTTGTTCATATGCAGGGGGTCAAAAAATCACGTGTGCACGGAGCACGCACTTCTGAACTGGTAGTTTAGTTTAGTTTATTTGATTTGTATACCGCCCTACTCCCGAAGGACTCAGGGCGGTGAACAGCCAAACAATAAAATACATAGATACAAAAAATTTAAAAACCAAATAAAATCAAATTAAATCATTTTGGCCCAGACAGATTAAAACACCCCAATAATTTAAAAACAGATTAAAATTTACATATTTAAAAAGGGAAGAGATTAGGCCAAGCCCGCCTGATGGAATAGGAAGGTCTTCACAGTGCGGCGGAAGGTGCGCAGATCCGGGATCCTCCGTATCTCCGGGGGGAGCCCATTCCAGATGGTAGGTGCCCCCACAGAGAAGGCTCTCCCCCTGGGGGCCGCCAGTCGACACTGTTTGGCTGACGGCACCTGGAGGAGAGCGTGGTAGGGAAGGTAAGTAGATTTCATCCCTCAGGTGGAGTCAAAAAAGGAATCAGCCTAAAATCTCTACGTGGCCACAAGTAGAGTAAATCCAACCTTCCTTGAATTCTGTTGACCCTCATCTAACTCCAAGCAGGGGCTAAACACGAGTTGAGAAGATGAGTAGCAATAAATCCGTTTCATTGGACCTTCACATGTGGACCTGATCTTTGGACTTGAACTTTCATGGCTGACATTAATCAAGGAAGGGCTCCAAAGTGCTTATTATTTAACGGAACAAGCGCCAGCTTTTCCAGGGGGTAACGGAGCCAGGGGGGAATGAACAGCCCCCTCATTTCATCAGGATGGTCCTTCTCGTCTTGTAATTAATTTTTACATCCGAATGCCAAAAATAACTTTAAGCCTAAAAAAATAGTCACGCTTTGGCCGTGATTTCGAAACAACTGTACCGACAGTCTCAATTGCCACGCCTGGTGAGAGGAGCCATTTGTTTTGAAATACCTTTCTGGTTTACGGGAGTAGACTACAATGCCGTTTTATTTATTTATTGCATTATTAATACCCAGCCCCAGTGGTGAAATCCAAATTTTTTTACTATCGGTTCTGTGGGCGTGGCTTGGTGGGCGTGACAGGGGAAGGATACTGCAAAATCCCCATTCCCTCCCCACTCCTGGGGGACGGGTATTGCAAAATCTCCATTCCCTCCCCACTCCAGGGGAAGGATCCTGCAAAATCCCCATTCTCTCCCCACTCCTGGGGGAAGGATATTGCAAAATCTCCATTCTCTCCCCACTCCTGGGGGAAGGATATTGCAAAATCTCCATTCCCTCCCCACTCTGGGGCCAGCCAGAGGTGGTATTTGCCGGTTCTCTGAACTACTCAAAATTTCCGCTACCGGTTCTCCAGATCCTGTCTGAACCTGCTGGATTTCATCCTTGCCCAGCCCCTTCGGTTCTGATCTGATCTGAACTGAAGAACTGAGGAAGCTTCTGGGATGAAGAGCGAAACATCTTCAAGGAAAAACAAAGTCCAGTTGCCTCTTGAAAAAGCACCTTTGGGACAAGGTCTGGACTCCTGTCTTGGGCAGGGGGTTGGACTAGAAGACCTCTAAGGTCTCCTTCTCCAGCCCAAAGATTCTATGAATTTGGACTTCTCCTCTCCTCTTTCCTGAGGAGGTAGGGATCCAATCATCCCTTCTCAAATCCAAAACATAAGGACAGGTAGATTTAGCCAATCCTAAAGATGACCTGAATCCAATCCATCACATTTCCGGTATTTAAAGATTTTGAGCCTTTCCCCCACAAGTGTGTACGTTCCTCTGTACGAATGACACGTTTTGTAACCAGGGATGGGCTTCAAAATTTTTTAGCAAGGGTTTCTCTGCCTGGTTGCTGGGTGGGCGTGGCCATGGTGGGTGTGGCCTAGTCAGCCTCCTGCATCACTGCGGGGGGTGTTTTTGTCCTCCCCAGGCTCCGGAGCCTTTCCTCGAACATCCGGGAGGGGCGAAAACAGCCTCCCCAGGCTCCGGAGGCCCTCTGGAGCCAGAACTAAACTTCCTGTAGGCCCGTTTTTCGTCCTCCCCGAGCCTCCGCAGTCTGCACGCGCCCTGCACTTACCTGCATCCAAAACGGGCCGCGTGGGGACTCCTGGGAGGGGCAGGCCAGGGTGGGCGGGGCCAGCCAGGAGTGGGTTTTAGGGGTTCTCCGAACTGCACAGAATCTGAGCTACAGGTTCTCCCGAACCCCTGCGAACCTCCAGCAGCCCCATCCCTGGTTGTAACTGAACAGCAGTCCCATTTTGCATAAAAATATTACAGTATTACAGAAAAATAGCCATGCAAAACTTACCTTGAAAAATCTCCTTTTGCTTCCTATAAAATGATAAAGAAACAACAAAAAAAAAAGAGCGGATGTAACAATTACTTATAATAACCTGTAAAATCATGAAGAAAATGCACACTTCCATCTTCAAGGATCATACAATGTTTTACAACTCTATCGGAAAATGATTCTAAGGTCAAGATATGACATCACCTTAAGAGCTGAGTCCAGATTTAATCCTACTTACAGAAGCTCATTTATTTATTTATTGGTTCGATTTATATGCCACCCTTTTCCGGAGACTCAGGGCGGCTTACAATGCATTAAGCAATAGTCTTCATACTTTTGTATATGCCTGCTTAGTAGGGCTTTCGGCCACCCCCAAGCGGTGTTCTTTTTTTTATACAAAGTCAGCTTATGGCCCCCACAAACCGGGTCCTCATTTTAGCTACCTCGGAAGGATGGAAGGCTGAGTCAACCTTGAGCCTGGTGAGATTCGAACTTGCAGTAATTGCAGGCAGCTGGTGTTACTTAACAGTGCTTTAGTCTGCTGCACCACCAAGGCTTTGTTGCAATCGATAGGAATAATTAACTTAAGTCTTACAGACTTCGGGGGGCGGGAAGGGGGGCTGAAATACCACTCCATAGCTAACAATTTGCAGATCTTTTCTTTACATCTCCTGTTGATTTCTCACCGCGCTCTATTTTTAAAATAAATAAAAATAAATAAAAGGACCTTATCTCTAGGAAAGGGACGAGATTCCTACCATATTGTGTAACAACGTCATAGAAATCCTGGCAGGGAGGCATACACAATAATTAAACGGAGACTTGGAAATACATTTATTAATATGGAAATATATTCACGAGCCTCCTCACTAATGAGAATCAATTAAAAAGTGCAGAGATGTTTCGATAACTTTGCAGCTGTGGCACAGCCATGTGATTCTGGAAAAAGGTGAGGTTGTTTTAAGATTGTTAAGGAAACATTCTGTGTTAGGTTTTCCAGTGGCTTTCCTTCCAGAAAAAAAAACAAGACATTTTGCGTAGAATGACCTGCAGAGCTAAACCTTAGAAACTGTGATTCAGCAAAGCACATTAATTACAATGAGCTTTAAATCTTTTTAACATTTTTTTTAATGGGATTGTTCGCATTGTTTTATTCTTTGTTGTAAGCCGCCCAGAGTCCCTTGGGAGTTGGGCGGCATAGAAATGCGACAAAATAAAATAAAATAAATAAATAAATAAATAAATTCAGGAAAGCACAATCAAAGCGACTGAGATCTAATCAATGATAGTAGATGATTTTCTACTTTATAGGAGAATATTTGGGGCTCAGGGTTGAAATGAGGTGCTCTCTGAGCCTGATGCTTTTCTTGCAGATGTTTCATGACCCAACTAGGGAACATCATCAGTGCTAGAAGGGAGGGGGATTTGCAGAGAGGAGGAAGAGGAAGAGTAGGAGGAGGACTTTTGGCAAACCCCACTCCTTTCTAGCACCGATGCTGTTACTTAGTTGGGTCATGAGACATCTGTGAGAAAACCACCAAGCTCAGAAAGCATCAAGAAACCCTCATGTCCTACTTCGAAAACATCAGTTTTGAACTAGATCTATTAGATCTCAGGCCTGCAGGATTACGATGTTAGAAGAGGGGATTTTCCAGGACCTGCCTGGCCTCAAATCACGGCTGGTTGGGTTGAGTCACCAGCGGTTCAAGATCTGTTTCACCCAAGGTGATCCCATTCATACCATCTACTCATTATTTCCATTCGGAATTCTATTAAGTACAGTTTCATGAGTTGTATTAATGAATATATTTATTAACTAAATGAAGTTATAATGAATTGAAGAGAATTATCTGTCGCTCAGGGCTGAACTGTGAGGTGCTTGGTGCTCTCGGAGCACTGATGATGTTACCTAATTTGGTAATGAGATGCCTGCAAGAAAACCACCAAGTTCAGAGAGCACCAAGAACCCCACTGAAATTATAATCAGTTGAATTAAAAAAATATGCTTAATTTCACTCTCTTGCACTAACTTTGGTACCAACGCTGCCTAGTTAGGAATCGTCAGGAAATAAAACATCACGTTTTAAAACAGAGGAACCTGGTAAATTCTCTCCTCTGTTTTTCCTGGCCTTCACTGCTTCAGCAGTTTTGCTTTGGAGAAGACTTAAGTACTGTTGCTGTATTTTAAATTAATTGATTGCTACGCTCAGAGGATATGTTTGTGGATGTCTGGAGTAGAATTTACAATTGTGTTTGTTAATTCCAGTTAATTGGCAATCAATTAACCAGCAGTATAATGGCAGGGAAAAAACCAGTTATTTTATGATCCCCTTGGGGCTAACTATCTTCCTTCCTGCTAATTATATCATGGGGTTGATTATTAACTTGCAAGAACAAAATATATATTTATGAGAGCCAGAGGAAGGAAGGAATACCTCCCTGGATTTGATTTTATAATGGAGATCTCAACCACAGCCTAAGATGAAATAGAATTGACTATGCTCTCTGCCCATCGATCTATTGGCTATAAAAGAGATAGAAAATGCTGGAAAATCCTCAGCTGGTACCTATCCCTCCTGTTTAAAAAGAGAGGCTAAATGCACATGGGAATAATACCAAAATTAGGATTGCCAGAGAATAGAATCTCATATAGGAGGGGTCTCCAACCTTGGCAACTTTAAGACTTGTGGACTTCAACTCCCAGAGTGTTGTGGTCCGCCAGCAGCCTGCGGAGCTGGCAGCGGAGTCGGACAGTGAGGAGACTGGGGAGGAACATGGGCCAGTCCTGGAGTCAGGGGAAGACCTGGATAAGGACTCTGCGTCGGAGACAGAGATGGGGCCAGGGCTATCTGGGAGTGATGCACGGACTCTGGAGCCTCCAGAGTCGGACAGCAGAGAGGCAGAGGAACAGGAGGAGCCTGTTCCTAGTGCATGCATGTGCAGAGCTGTCAGAAGGCACAAACAGCTAAAGCAAAAGGGACGACTCAGGAGTAAGGCCTGGAGATGATTGGCCACTCCCATAAGGCTTAAAAGAGGAGCAAAGGCTCATGGGCCCTTTGCAGGAAAGCAACATTGTTAATTCTGTTCCCAATCGGCATCTCAGTTTGATTCTGGACTCCGTGTGGCTTTGCCAAGTAGGTCTTTGGCAGAGTGTCAAGGGAGATAAAGGTTGGTGATTATCCCAATTATCTCCCGAATGACTTTTTGCAACTAATTGGGACTTAGCTGTGAATGAACGTAATTCACAGCTGTTGCAATAGAAGAGGGTTTTGGGATTACCCGTGTGTTTTAATGACTCAGGAAGCCGAGGTCACCACACAGAGTTGAACTGAAGTCCACAAGTCTTAAAGTTGCCAAGGCTGGAGACCCCTGTCATATAGCGTCAATGTTCATGTTTCCTTCTTTCAACAAAACAACAGCAACAGCAAAATCTACACAATTTACCTGTAGGATGTACGCAGCCAACTCAAACACCACTTCACTGTCAACCTCAATCAGCTCCTTTTGGGAAAAGAGAAATGGAAATCAGGAAAGTAAAAACATCTCTTTATTTAATATCTTACAATACAGTTTCCAGCAACATGAAGCCAACATACATATTTTATTCATTTATCTAGTTTGGGTTCCCACCAAGGATTTCTGGAGTACAAAACATTTCTTGAACAATCATATAAGTAGTATGGAAAAAGGACATAAGATACAGATTTTCTCCCGCTTCTCTTAAATATTTGCTGTGCTATTTTTGGAACTGCCTGGACTGCGGTTTATCATCCCGAAGGTTTCCTGTGGTTCACCATCATTCTTTTCTCATGGATTTCTAAAAATAGCTCCAGTACACGACATGTAGAAGTTTAGGAGAAGAAGTATGTGCAGGCACTACGATAGAATGTCAAGGATTTCTGCCGGATTTCTGCTTTTCACAGAATTCTTAAAAAAAGAAAATGGAATGGTAGGTGAAGAAAAAAAATAAATTGGGGACCAATTTTTGTTCATGTTAATTAGTAGCTCAAAAGTACTGATTGCACCATAACAACTAATACTATAATACTAATACCATACCACCAATTGCAAAATTTGGGCATGTCTAATCTAGTGAAAATAAGAACTAGGGTTGACATGATAGCAGTGTTCCAATATTTGAGGGGCCGCCCCAAAGAAGACGAGGGTCAACCTAATCTCCAAAGCACCTGAAGGCAGGACAAGAAGCAACAGATGGAGACTAACCCAGGAGAGAAGCAACCTATTGAACTAAGGAGAAGTTTCCTGACAGTGAGAAGAATTAACTAGTGGAAGAGCTTTCCTTCAGAAATGGTGAGTGCTCCATCACTGGAGGCTTTTAAGAAGAGATTGGATAGCCAACGTTTCAGAAATGGCATAGGGTTTCCTATTTGAGTAGGAGGCTGGACTAGAAGACATCCAAGGTCCCTTCCAACTTTTGTGTTGTGTTGTGTTGTGTTGTGTTCTACTCTACTCTACTCTACTCTACTCTACTCTACTCTACCCTACCCTACCCTACCCTACTCTACCCTATCCTACCCTATTCCTATTCCATTTTTAGAATATTGTCTTCTACACAAAACCATTCCCTGTGTCAGACTTCGATGCTATCTCAAAATAAATGAATTTCCAAATTGCCAATCTTTAAGGAAATCTTTTCTTTAATTGAGCACAGCCACCGGATCATGACTCGATGCGGACTGACGTTTTGCCCCCCCAATCCCTCCCTTTCCGATCCCCAAATCTCTGCTTCTCATTGGCTATCTTCCAAGTCATTCTTCAGGCTTCTTGTCTTGTCATTTCCCAGGAATGTCCCCCCTCCTCATTTCCACGACAACCCGACTTCAAAGGGATTTAGCAGGCAAAAGTTCAGAGCTTATCTCTCTCTCCTCTGCTCTCTATGCCAGCGTTGAAGCGCTGACACCCTGTTTGAAGAGATGTTTGGTCCATCTCCAGATTAATGGAGGGGGAGACATAAGTGCTAGGGAAAGGACAGGGGAGGGCAAAGAGTGACACGTAACATGGAGCCCATGACATGATGGATGTGTGTGCATCAGGGACCGAGACACCAGTAGCAATTTAGGGCAGTGACTTCACGATGGTTGCGCCATATCGGTTGTGGCACTTGCTTTTCAAGAGACATCCAGAGGGGTGTGTGTGTCCGCCTTGGCAAGAGGGCGGAGGGCACGTCACAATGAAAGCCCCACCCCTCTTGTACACACAACAACATTCCATGCACATTCAAAGTGAGTTGGGTTGCATCACAACGTTCCATCCAGGGCCTTCTCACACTTAGCACACTTTTCACAATTCCCAGGTCTTTTTTCCTTCTTTTTCTCTTCCTCCCCAAAAGATTTTCACTTTAGCCAACAAAAACCAGTGGGGCCTCCATGTTTTTCCCCCCTCTTTTTTGGGCAACTTGGACATTTAATAGCAAAAGTTCCCTTCTTACAATTCCCATCACTAACTCCTACAGTGCATTTTCTATTAATTATTACCTCACAATTAAAAGTAATTTCTGTTTGTACGCATAGCTCTTTCTTGAAAGTATACAGGTAGTCCTTGACTTACAACAGCCCCTTTAGCGACTTATGACCGTTTTTCACACTTACGACCGTTGCAGCATCTCCATGGTCAGGAGGATCAAAATTCAGAGGCTTGGCAGCTGATTCATACTTACGACAGTTACAGTGTCCCGGGGGTCACACAATCCCCTTTTGCGACCTTCTGACAAGCCAGGTCAATGGGGAAGGCAGATTCACTTTACAACCGAGTGACTAATTTAATACCTGCAGTGATTCACTTAACAACCATGGCAAGAACGGTCGTAAAATGGGACCAAATTTCAAATTTCTAGGTTCTACCATATCGCGAGATCTAAAATGGACAGCTAACATCAAAAACGTCATCAAAAAAGCACAACAAAGAATGTTCTTTCTGCGCCAACTCAGAAAGCTCAAACTGCCCAAGGAGCTGCTGATCCAGTTCCACAGAGGAACTATTGAGTCTGTCATCTGCACCTCCGTAACTGTCTGGTTTGGCTCTGCAACCCAACAAGACAGATACAGACTTCAGAGGATAATCAGAACTGCAAAAAACAAACAAACAATGGCTACCAATTTGCCTTCCATGGAGGACCTGTCTACTGCACAAGTCAAAAAGAGGGCTGTGAAAATATCTACAGGCCCCTCACATCCTGGACATCAACTGTTTCAACTCCTACCCTCAAAACAACACTATAGGGCACTGCACACCAGAACAACTAGACACAAGGACAGTTTTTTCCTGAACCCCATCACTCTGCTAAACAAATAATTCCCTCAACACTGTCATATTAATCTTCTCATAGTTCCCACCACCCATCTCCTCCCACTTATGACTGTAATTTTGTTGCTTGTATCATTTGTACCCTATGACTATCATTAAGTGTTGTACCTTATGATTCTTGATGAACGTATCTTTTCTTTTATGTACACTGAGAGCGTATGCATCGAAGACAAATTCCTTGTGTGTCCAATCACACTTGGCCAATAAAGAATTCTATTCTATTCTATTCTATTCTATTCTATTCTATTCTATTCTATTCTATTCTATTCTATTCTATTCTATTCTATTCTATTCTATTCTATTCATTTAACAACCAACTCACTTAAATAACAGAAATTTTGGGCTCCCTTGTGGTTGTGAGTCGAGGGCCACCTGTGTAATTGAATTTTTTAAAAATATCTTTTCTTCTTCATTACTTGCATAAGTGGGCGGGACACATTCCAATTAATTCAGGAAAAGAACTTCCCATAAATACTTAGCTAACCTTTCCTACTGAAACTTTAAATTTATACAGAAAGGGGGAAAAAAAGGGGGTTACACAACTTTGGAGAAATGTGCAGGGGGAGTCCCAAAAGCAACAACGGCTGGTTGGGAACCTGCCGTTGAAGGTTTGCACTTTTAAAAAAAATTGTGTTGCACAACCATCACAACCATTTAAAAAGTGACAGCTGCCCTCCTGTCCTTTTAACCTTCCCATGGATGACTCCGCAGGGTGTTAAAATGAAGGGCACACCTCAAAGTCACAAGCCGTAAAGTTTGCTCTTTGCAAAGGAGAAGAAAAACTCTTGTCTTGTTTAAGAGTTTCCTTCTGTATTAAAGCCACCAGATTAACACAAAACTCAAGACTTCGATCCTACTTCATTGCAGTTAAGCCGGTCTGTTACACCCTTCTCCACCCCGAGGAAGGTGTTCCTTTATTTATTTATTAGTACGATTCTTCAACCTGAAATATTTCTTACCCAGGGTGTACAATAAAATTGCAGAAGGTATAGGTTAAAGGAAGCATGTATTTTCCATGGAGAGGAAGAGGAGGAGACCACGACGGACCTCCTCAAAATCTCCTTGAGATTTTGTTACTGGTTACTCAGAAAGAAAATAAAAAATGTAGTTTCGGAGAAGGTGGGATTTCCTTGTCCAAAACTACGTATGTAAGGTGCTACTAACAAAGCCTGCTGGCTGGGGGATTCTGGGAGATGAAGTCCATTTGTCTTGAGGTTGAAGGAACCCAACTCTAGGGGATGCTGCCATCAAAGCAAAAACACAAACCAGCATCTCCATGGCTTCACACAAGGCCCTCCTATTTCCTCCTTCAAAACTAGAAATAAAACCCAAGCCTAGCTTTTTTATGGTCTTACTTTCACAGAAGGTTCTTAAGAGCTTCCAATACTAAATATTGAACCTGCTGGCTGCAAGCTGAAAAGAAATCCAGCATGATCGTTGAGAGAAACAGAAGGACAAGATAAAAAAAACATCTATATTTTGTGGGTGAGAGAGACTCCGTGGTTCAGCAGAAGGATGATTTACTGGTCAAAATTAACTCAAAGCAAAACATCTGGGGAGAACCTCTGGAACCCCATCAGCATTGACAAAATCCCCATCGATCAATTGCAGAAGGCAGTTTTACTTGGAACAGCTGACATCCTGCTGTGAAAACTTTAAGACCATCAAACATCCACATCTACTGTACCTATCCCAGGTCCAGCTTGAACATCTGTCTGACTGTGCAATGAAATAATAATAATAATAATAATAATAATAATAATTTATTTATAAATTTATAAAATGAAACAGTGAAGAATTTATGGGACTTTCAAATACAGACGGATCGTCATTTGGAACGTAATACGCCAGATATCACAGCTGTCGAAAACCGAAATGTACAATTTATTGACATCGCGGTACCAGGAGATGCCAGAATCAAAGAAAAAAAAAACTGGAAAAAATCATGAAATGTCGCGACCTGGCCATCGAAACTACACAGCTATGGATGAAGCATGTAAGAGTGATATGCATTGTCATCGGGGCAGTTGGTACCATGTCCAAGAATTTTATAAGATACATCAACAAATTGCAGCTTCCTGCAATAACACCAGCAGAACTGCAAAATACTGCGCTACTTGGAACATCGTATATATTAAGAAGGTACTTGGTTGATACCTAGGACGCTGGCAGCAACC